ACACACACACACACACACACACACACACACACACACACACACACACACACACACACACACACACACACAAACTCTCACTTGTGCCGTGCCGATTGCCAAATGTATTTAAACTGGCATATTATAATATTAGCTCCAGAAAAATGACACTGGTATTTACAAAGTAAAAGGAGTCTAAATGGCCCATTTGAGCCAGAGTAAACACATTTAGCTATGAGGTCAGAGGCTGCCACACTAGAGGCGGGTTGGTTTGATAATTTTGTCAAAATGTTTAATGTCCTGCTAAACCGTTTGGGAAAAACAAGTGCTGCACTGATATTGACTTTGGCAGCAGCCTGTATACTCAAGGCTTAAAACATGTAAATCAAATGCTCCATCTTCAGGCAAATGTGAGTCGACGTTTCATGCCCGGCTGCTCGTACTGTGTGATGAACAGATATGGCACTCCAGTGTGTGTGTGTGTGTGTGTGTGTGTGTGTGTGTGTGTGTGTGTGTGTGTGTGTGTGTGTGTGTGTGTGTGTGTGTGTGTGTGTGTGTGTGTGTGTGTGTGTGACTGCTTTCAGGTCAAACATCTTGATTTGATGAAATCTGTAAATGTGGAAATTGCTGCAACTTCAATGTGTTGTCATCACGTCACAAGTATGTAGGAGCTTAAGGTTGGGAAGAAACACGGAAGATTACTAGTTATATGGCATAATAGGCACTTAAGTTACATGATGGAAAAAAAGGGGATTCTCACTGCTAACCACTCACATTCTCTCACACACACAGAGTTCAGATGTTCCTGATCAAGAACCTGAAGGAACCAAATGACATCTCACATCCAATAATGTCACCCTGCCTGTGTGATCGCTGTTCCAGCATCCACCGCTCAGGTCCTTTTCACTTTCCATTTCTCTCCTCACGCTGGTAATTGTGCATGCCGCAGAGAAAGAGGCAGTGAAACCACGAGGTAATTTCACCAGCGTTCCTCCTGCTTTTAAGGCTTGAAACAACACATCACCTTCCAGATGCTTCCAGGCCGACCTGGCGTCTCTGAGCGGCGCTCGGACGTTTACATCGAGGCGGTTTCTTCTGCTGTGTTTGTGCTGGAAGTGGAGCAGTCTGCTGTGCCTCACACCCCAATCACATGCAGTCATGTGTGTTTCCTGGATTACTATATGTAAACTCCTCTCACTCACACACACAAGTGCAAATGCATTTAGAGTAAGAGAGCCATCAAACCTCATTCTGTCATATGTCTACACTGTATACACTCCCATTAAAGTGTATACACACACAGACACCGGGCCCACAGAGTTAAAAGAAAGCGTGTTTATGTAACACGATAACTTTTGTAACACATGGGTTTATGATGCCTGATTTCATCCATTCTTTCTGAATGTTATTAAACTGTAAAATATTTGTTATCCTTTTGTACCTCCCTGGTTTTCAGCACATTGTTTAGTACAGTACACACTGTGTCTCCTGACGACACTTAGGCTCTGTGACTCGGCTCCTGGGGGAAATCATCCGCACTAATAGGAAACATGCTGTGCCTCTTATACAACACACACACACACACACACACACACACACACACACACACACACACACACACACACACACACACACACACACACACACACACACACACAGCAAGTTTTCCATGCCTAAATGTGAGTTCTGTAAATATATTAAAAGTGCATCTATTCCTGTATTCTTCTTACAGTCAATTTATTTTTCTTTAAAAATTGGAACGAAATCTAAAACAGAACTTATTTTCTTCTTTGCAAACGATTTAGCAATCATGTCCCACATAATAAATCATATTCAATTATCTTCCCTTAAAAAGTATCCCCACTTGAACTTATTTTCACAAATATCTGACAGATGTATAATCTAAGATGGCAAACTTAAATGCAGTTCATTGCTTGTATTTATCGTATAATCACTCAACAAATAAGGTCTGTTAAACATGATTACCACTAGATTAGTACAATTTATATTGTTTGGGAATGTTTTCTGCTGATGTGTTGATTTATGTCATTTGAGGATAAAACAGCTCATTGCATAAACACCAAACGATGATCTTTTCACAGTTCCCGCCTATTAAAGTGTGAATCATGTACGGCCAAGTGGTTTGGTCATAGTGCTGATGCTGTCGTATCCAGGGGAGATGGGGGACCTTACGAACACCTCATCCAGTGCCAGAAGTAGAGCTGGTGATGTGTCACAGCGACCCGGAGGTGACCAGCACACCCCCTCTCCCCACGAGGGATGTCTCAGGGGTCGTGGAGTTGAGTTTGTTTCCAGTAAAACGAGGGGCTTAACCTAATATGATCTAAGAGGGTTTGCCCCTGCGGATCTGCCTTGATCCAGGATGATAAATAGGTGGAAAACAATGGAAACGCAGCGGGTCAAAATCAGTGTGAGGATCATGAAACCATCAGCGTGAGTAATGGAGGAAGAAAGGTCAACTGACTTGTGTGTGTTTATAAGGACACTTATATGTTAACGTGTGAAGATATAAATGGTAATAGTAATTGGAATGGATCATTCAAATTGATTCATCAATCAATTATCACACATGTCCTGAGTAAAATGCGTGACTCTAAGGCAGTGTTTTTCAAAGTGGGGGCCCCGACCCCCCGGGGGGCCGCCAGGGGGCACCAGGGGGGTCACGCAAAGTTTGAGGGAAAAGGGATTTTTTTTTTTAGATGTTATTAATAACTGTGTATCTATCAATCTATGTGTCCTTTGATGCCAATCTTTTAATATTTTAGTTTTTGAATCACACGACCGCCCTTCAAGCCAATCAGAATGGAGCTGCTGCTACTGAGAGTGAAGCTGAGTATCTGCTCAGCTTTTGGAGCAAGTGAGAGCTAGTGAATATTTCGCTCTGCAGCTGGATGAGAGCACGGATGTAGCAAATGTCGCCAGAATTGTTTGCATACATCAGATTTATTTCAGAAGACAACTTTGTTGAGGAAATATTATTTTGCAAAGCACTGGAAGGTAGGACCACATGAAGAGACATTTTCCAAGTTTTAGATGAGTACATCATCTCAAACGGATTTGACTGGTCTCGTTGTGTGGGTGTGTGTTCAGATGGGGCAGTGGGGCTATGACAGGCAAAAAAAGCGAGTGACAGCTTTGATCAGGCAGAAGGCCCCAAATGTAGTGGCAACACACTGCATGCTCCATCGTGAGGCACTTGTACACATCATTTAAACATTTTTTTGCAACAGGGGGGTCCTCGCCAGAGGATAATGCTATATGGGGGTCCTTGGCATGGCAAAGTTTGGGAACCCCTGCTCTAGGGCACCTTAGCACTGCCCAAGAAGTGACCTGGCACCTTTAAAAACACCAGTCCACACTTTGTACTTCCGTTTTCAGGGACTTCAACCGGCGATTGTCCGATTCCAAGTCCCTAAAGTACTACCATTTGTAATGAAACCTTTTTTTGGGGCTTTTTCTAAGCAAAGGTGTTGCTCCATTGACTGTTTTTGGTAACTTCTGCTAGAAAAGTTTGATATCACGTGACTGCACCACACGTTTTTACAGCAGCTGCCAATCAGAAGAAGCTTAGTCATGATTTTTTTTTGTGTTTAAATGAAAGACAATGTATAAAATGTGCCAGGTGAATAACTTTATGATAAAAAAAAGGGTTCAAAAGTAGTTTTTTCTGCTGCAAGAAGCAATTAATTGGATGATTCGATCATTATAATCTCTTTAAAAGGTCACCTATTATGCAAAATCCACTTTTTCCTGTCTTTTCTACATCAACATGGACGGGCTGTAAACTCACTTTATCAGAATTTCAGGGGATAATATGACAAAAGAGTTGTATAATATCCAGAGTTAATATGTTTGTACAGAGACTTCATAAAACCGAGGTGTTTGTGGTTTGTTCTTAGTAACGTCGTTAATGGGTATTAGGGGAGACAAAAGTAAGGCCAAAGTTTTCACGACTAGAGACAGCACAATGAATTACTTTTTATTCCTCGGGGAGGGGTGCGGGAGACTCTCTCTAAACCAATTTTTATTCTGAGTTAACCACGAGATCTCTCTAAGTGCGCGTCATTCCCACCCCCCCCCCCCCACTCACCAATGGAACAACCACTTAACCGATTACCAATGCGTTCGGTTTTTGAGGAATACTGTAGTATTTCACCGGCTTTAGACTAATTGAGTAAAAGTCTGTCCAACAATATATTTACCTAGTCCTGTTTTCTCTCTCTTAGAAAAAAGGACTTTGAAAGTTTAGAGAAATGTTT